AAGGTACATGTACACAGTTTAATGTTCACAGACAGTATGCACCTGTGTGTCGGAGAATAGAGCAGCACTGGGTATCTTCCGCCAAAGACACAGACAGACAGACAGAGTGTGTAAGTCAGTAAAAATGACTCTCTCCAACTTGGTAGTGACATGTAATAATAGATCAACTCCTCTGCTCGTAGTTTTAACTGAAAAAAAGAGGAGGAATTGACCCATTTTTCAGGCAACTGGCTCAAAAGACTTGCAGAGCATTTGCTAGGGTCAGATGACTTTACTTGCTACTTAATACACAATAAATCATACAGGTGACAGTTCCACCATCAGCACAGCTAGCAAAGTCATTACCCATTTTGTTCCCAAGAGAACATGGGTTTCACTATTTTTAAATGAACTCTGAATGCAACATGATAAAAAGTGCTACTTCTCAGTCCTACAGAAAAACATCTGTTTGAGAGCTCAGTCCTGGGAAATGTTGGGCACCTCCAGAGGAGTGAAGTTGGTAGGAGTTGAGGGTATTAGGCACCTGTAGGACATAGCCTCTGAAAGAATACATGATCCTCAATATCTAAACAAACCCACTTTCTTTTAACTATTGCCATTTGAACATACCAGAACTGTAGGAGTTTGGTTTTTTTAAATAAAAAAGGACAGACAGACAGACAATGTTTTACACTTGCAAGTTTCATGCCAATGAAGATGCAAGTGAAATTAAAAATGAAATTAAAAGCTGTGAAAAAACAGCTTTTCTTTTCTTTTTTTTTTTTTAATGAGAGAGACTGATCTCCTCCAGATCTGTGGCACTTTGTAGCTGCACACCAGCACACAAACCCATAACAAAGCAAAATGAAGCAATTTTTTTCATGAAAAGTGTCCTAACCTCCTAAGCCTCCTATAAAAGTAATGCCAATTAGGTTGCCCTTGGTGCTGCATGGATATAGCTACATTGCTGCCGGTCTAAGAGATAGCATAGGGGGCTACACAGTGCGACTGAAGCATGGTAAGTTACTTCAGTGTCTGTAAAGTGCATCAGACTAATGGATCTAGAGACATAAAAGGCTAGATCTTTAAAAGGATTCAGGTGTTGCTTAACACAACAACACCCAAACCCCTCATAGCGCCTACTGCCAGTAGATTTTTCAGCCTCAAGTTAGGTGGCACTGTGCCTCCTAAGCTCCCCCAAGGATGTGGGGATAATTAAGCACCTAAGAAATGTATCTTTAGAAGCTAGCCAGCTGAGTAACAGGTACCTAGCCAGAAGTGAAATCCTAAGAGAGAGGCTTAAATATTGGAAAACCTGGTGTCTTGCTGAGACTGGGAGTTAGGTAGCCTGTTGTTTGAGAGATGCTATTTGGGGGACCATGTGTGTGTGTGCCCATGTTAGTTCTATAAAAAGTCAATTCAGTTACTTAAGTCTGTCAACAGCCAAAACCATGTCTCTCTCTCTCGCATGTGCTCTTCCACAGTGTTTCCCTGTGCCTGCAGATTCCTCTGAGTGCTGTCCTGCTACTCCACTTTGTGTCCCACATCCAGCCTTCCTAATGCAGGGTCTGATAAGTATCTAATCTTAGCAAAACTCAGAGCACACTTAAAAGATTTGGGCCCACTGGCAAAAATAAAACAACCCTCACTTCAAGGTCCCTGTGAATTGTATGTGTAGTAGGAGCTCATTAGCTGCAGGGTGACATCAGAATTTAGGCTGCTTTGAAGACATCATCCAAAGCAAAACTTAGGCACCTAGGGGACATGGACAATGTGTGGAAGGTTAGCTAACATGTAACCTCCTTTGGGCTGTGGACTTTGAAAGCCAGTGACATCTATTGGTATACTTAGGTGGCTTATGTACTCGTTTCAGCACCTAAATCTCCTTAAAAATCTGGTCCTCTACTCATCCACAAAACATATACACCACAAACAGGCAATACAAGCTTCTCCACATTGCCCCACTGACGGCTCTCAACCTTAGAGAAGGTAATTAGATCCATTTAAAAATGTGGCCAATGGTCTCTAGATCCATCAGTCTGATGGGTTTTGTAAACACTCATGCCTTATGTTTCTTCTGACACTACTGAAAAAGGAAACAATTGTGGCACAGACCCAACCATTCAGTTCATCTAGATCAGAGCTGTTGAACCTTCCAGCCCTGTGGGCCAGATGAGTGGCACAGGGCTGGATTCCACAGGCGAGGTCAGTCTGTGGACTAGATCTTACATGGGATTGGCACACAGGATCAGTCTGTGGATGTGATGCCAGCTCAGCACTGTGTGCCAATCCAGATGAAGAGTGACCCCATATGCTGGTGCAATCCAGTGCACAGGGCTGTCATCTAGCTAAAAGCAGCACTAATTACCACAGCTTTGAAAGCTGTGGCAGTTGATGCTGCCACCGCTCCACTACCACCAAAAATTTTTGGACCTGTGGGGAGCCCCACAGAAAATGATTTGGCCCCATAGGCCACACTTGGCCCTCAGGCCAGAGGTTGAGCACCACTGATATAGACCACTGAACAACCATAACAAATTAGCATCTTCCATTCAGTCTGGACCCAGTCTGTACCCCGAACTAGTGACCTCATGGTGAAAGGCTCTATAAGCCCATGCTGAGGCTCAAAGTCAGCTTCTGCAATGAAGCCGCACTTGTAACTATTTAATGAGAGACCAGAAACTATCAGAAGAATGCAAGACACCCAACCTGGAGTGGCAAATTTACACAGAACAGGAGGTCTTGTCATGCAGAAGAAGAGTTCTTTACAAGCAAAAGAACAACATCTCTCTCTCTCTTAGCTAGACCTGCTCTTTGATGAATAAGTGGAAGATAAAATTCACACCCTTTTGCAGACTTCATGACCTCAAATAGTACATTTTGCTACTAATAATTAATTAAACCCCTCAGGCATTGATATTAGGCTGTAATTTTAGTTCAGTAATATAATAAGTTACAAAGAAAAGTTATAATTGTGCACAATGTCTTCCTAAAGTTTCTTTTTTGGTATGAGTTTCCTTGCTCAGAGCTTTAAATGCTACCACAGATTATTAATGCTAATCTAACTATATTCTTTTTAGCATCTATTACTTGAAAAGCAGAACTGAATTACAGTAATAGTAATTTCTGGGATGCAAGAGAAGTTAGGACAAACTTATAAACATGAATGCGAATACCTCAGTTTTCAGGTTACACATGTATTCTACAATGTGCTTGATTTCTGGAAGAGAAGTTTTTACTCTCTCTAAAAATCAGGTCTCTAAGGATAATTACCACTGGGTACCCAAACCTGAGGCATCTAAAAAAAGTACAAGTCACTCACTTCTGAAAACCTTCACAGATTGTTTCATTAGTTACTACTTTCTTACCTCTCTCAAATCCACATAAATTAAATTTCAGGGGCTATGGACAGACCTAACTTTTTACTGCTTTTAAATGGGAAGGTAATATTACCACTTAGGAATGTGCATCAGCTGTTACAATAACTGTTATGTCTGGATGCTCCCACAGAGATGCAATTGAACTCAACTGCTGAAAATTTAACCCCGAATCAACATTGTTAAAGGTACAACTGTTTTGCTAAACTTGCATCCCTCTAGCAGCATACAGGTGTAACAGTTGCATCATAACAGCTTATACTGGCCATCGTGCAATACCAATACAACTGTTATATCATCTATACCTAGAATCTACCTCCAGCATACAAGAGCACTGAATGAGGCCTCATGCAGATTATACCAAGGACAAATGTTAAAAGAACCACTCTTGTTTTAATGAAAGTAAATAAAACAGTATATCTATATATCATCCTTGAAAAGCCTAGTGGTACTAAACGATGAGAATCTTGGTAAAGAAAGATTTTCTATTTGTGGGTTAGGATTCTTGCTGTGCCATTTTAAAGGACTACACTCAGTAACAGAAATGAGCTGATATCACCACTCCTATGTGGACATAGTCCATGATCAGAAGTTTCATTTTCTTCTCATCTTTTATCTTCCCCTGCAAATCACCACCTTTATTGTATTGCCCAGTCTCCCTGACTTCCTTTAGTCCTTATATCCACTGCAGAATGTGCCACTAGAGCAGGGGCAAGCAAAATGCCCCTAAAAAATTTAGTAAATTAAATATTTATTTGTCCCTGGCTCCCTGCCAAAGCCGACTGGGGACAGGGGCAGTAGGACCCAGAGGGAGCCCTAAGCAGGCTTGAGCAGCCAAGCCCCACCCACTCCCAGCCAGTTCCCTGCTTTCCTGCTGCAGCACCACCTGGCTGTGGCTCCCAGCTGCATCCCCAGACTAGTGGGGGGAGAGGGATTGTGTGCGAGTGTGTGTGCACGCGCGTGCCTGCAGGCACAGAGGCAGAGTGTGTGTGTGTTCAAAGGGTGAGTCCCACATGCACACCCCACCATACACATGCACCCACACCTCCCCTCGCACTGCCATACACAAACCCCTGCCACCCACACCCCACATACCCACCCACACCCCACATACCCATAGCCCTATACCCACCCCCACAATATACTTCATTTTAAGCTATTGTGCAGTCACCTCTGCGTACACTACACAAACACATGCAAATCAGAACGAAAATAGTTTTTTGATATCAAATTAATGAATGTTGTAGATGTTCGATTTTTAAAATATAATTTGGTATTTTTCTGGTTCCAAGATGGCAAAACCCCTTGCTGAAAGGAGTATTTCCAGGGGTAAGAGGAGGGACTTCTGGTGGTAAAGGTCAGGGGTTAGGGGGTGGGACTTCCAGTTACAAGACAGCAACCAGGGGGCAGGACATCCGTCAAGGGACAGGGCTACCCATGCAGCCCTTGACAGCTTTCCAAAACTTGGTAAGAGGCACTCCGCACAAAATAATTGCCCGCCCCTGCACTAGAGCATGACATGGTATCACACGCACACACACGAGATGATCTTCTAACAACCCTCCATACCAAGGGGAGCAGACAGACTAAACTATCGTGTGTCTTTTTGAGATACAAATTTGATATTCTAGGAATTAGACTTACATGATCATTTTCAATATTTTGCAAGAGCCTTGGGTCATCAAATTCACATGATTCACTGGTGGAAGGAGGTAGCTGGCTATGGAGCAAGAGAAGGAATAAATATTTAAAAACACAACAGCAACATTTGCATTATTAACATAATCTTGTCAGGAAGTATTAGAGGGACAGCATCAGTTGAAAAAAGGGGGTAGCTGGGGAAAACATCACACCTGCTTGAAAACTTAGAAGGACCACTCAAAATTAGGAATTAAAGCAACTAGTAGGGGGAAGGTATTTGTCTTTAAATTTTCAATTTACTTTTTCTCTTTTACAGAATTTTGTGCATCATCATTTTCACTACTTTTGCTGTATATTTGGTGTCCTCTGTTTTAGCAGATCTTTAACATAACTTTGAAATGCTAGGTTAACAAAAATAAAAATGTGGTTGTGGAACCACAAAAATTGCTGACACACCTTGGGAATAGGCAGAGTACTAAAAGCTTAGAAGTGGTGACTTAGAAAAGCAAGATAAACTTGGGGCTGGTCTCTCAGGTCTTCTACATATTTTTCTTTCTTACTAACTTCATTCTCTGCCTCTCTTATGGGATCTAGCATACAGAGACATTTTCCAGGACTTTTGTCATCCAGACTTGTGATGCAATTATACCATGCGAGTATAGCACTGCTCAGCACACCTTCAGCAAATAACCACAAAAGTGCTTTACCCTTGCATGGAGTTGTACAGTTGAGGCTGGGGGAGGTGCTGTCCTGATGGAACACAAGTTTTCTTCTCTCTTGCTAGAAAGTTACACTGTGACTGTATACTACATTAGCATAAAGAGGGCACACATCAGACAGAAGAGTAAAACAGCATGGGAAAGTAGAGAAAAAGGCTGGAGAAAAGTAAGAACACAGAGGAGGGACAAAGAAAGGATGAAAGAAGAAATATGTGCAAGAGCAGCCCTGCAGACAGGAAGTGCTTCTTCTCCCTGGATTAAAAACTAGAGAAAAGCAGGGCAAACAGTGAAGCCCAATTATTTTAGCTAAAAAGATAGAAGTGTAAGAGAAAAACAACAAAAAAAACCCCCCACGTGGGTAAAAGCTGCTATCAACTGACTATATGGTGAGAGTCCATCAAAAGTTTCATTTTTTTTCTCTTCCCCTGGAGTTCACCACCACCTTTAGTCTGTTGCCCACTCTCCCCGTCTTGGGTAAAAGGGGACGGGAAGGGCTCTACAGGATTGTATTTCTGGCAAATAGAACCTGCCAAACCGCATCTTCCCAGGCAAGAACTTCCCACACTGCTCATCTAGGTCTGTAATTCACAGCCTATTCAGCCCTTCTTGGCATTTCCTTCCTCCGTTGCTTCATTCTAAGTTACAGTAGAAATGACAGTTCAGCCTAAAGCTCCCTGACAGCATTTTGCTACAGGACCACTCTAGAGGCCAGCTCAGATTCCTGCCATCTATTTTTGCTTATTATTTTCTGAATACAAGCACCTGTTCTTTGAAACAAAAGACACCCCAATGGCACTCTGCCCAGAAGGTTCCTGGTTAGATTGCAAGTTAAGTATTTATTATGATTCATAATATATATGTGCCCATCAGAAAGCCTCAGGGTCCATTCAAAACTAAATACTCCATCGGTTTGGAATCTGCATGCTACCTTCAACAGTCAAAAGTGTAAGCTTCCTTTTAAATTAAGGAGCACAGAAGGAGAAGCCCCGAGCCTGTCCCCTATTCTGAAGGTAAATTAGGACTTTATGTCATGCTTTGAAAGACAATATCAGAAGAACGCAATGCAGAAGAATGCATTCACACAAGTGCTGATGTTTGTTTCCCCAAAGACAAGCAGTGGCACAACTTGTGATGCTGCTACTTGTCCCCAGGGAACACCTGTGTCACCTTCTGGTGCACAGCAAGTTACCTCGGGTGCGGTAGGGGGCTGTGTTGGCCCCAGCAGCCTTAACTAGGGTCCTGGGGGGAAGCTACAGCTGCGGTGCTCCTGCACCTGAAAGCCTGGCCAGCAGATGGAGGGTGGCTCTGGTTGGCCAGGCTCTGGTTGTGGACAGTACATGCTACCACCACATGTTTAATCCCACTCCCACCCCACACAGATTTTTTTGACCCCGAGATCTCTCAGGGTCAAAAAAACAACAACAACAACAACCCGTGCTGCACAGTAGCAGCATGGAGAAAGCCTGAATGTGTAGCGGGTGGTGCCACAGATGGGTCTGCAGTGCCACATACCACACCACCACACTCCACTGGAAAAGAATTCTTGGCCGCATCCAGAGATCTCCAATTCTTTTTTCAGATAATACTTTTTACTAAAACAAACTTCCCTTTGTCCCATTTGCAACTGCTAATTTTAAGCCTCATGGCATCAATTCACTATTTCTGCAGTCATAAAGTCAGCTGTATCCAAGGGCAAATCCAGGGGCTAGAGGATTCAGTGATATAGATGCACACGTCCTTCGATTCCTGGTCCACCCAAATTTTAAAATCAACTGTCTGGCAGTGGCAGCAGCATTTCTATTCAGGCAGCAGTGAAAGAGTCAGTTGACTGCATGGCTCATTATAATCTACCTGATTCCTTCTAAATTTAATTCCACAGGTGTTCGAGTGACTCAAGACCATTAAAAAAAGAAGAAGAGAGAGTCATTAGGTTGCACTAATCAAGCTATCCTTTCTTCTGCAATTCCACTATCTGCTAGCTGTTCCTGGTAATCTAGTTCCTTTTCACAGCTCTGCAGACTGTTTTTTAATTATGGCTAAAAACATTAACTCAGATGTATAAAGGTTAATAAGGTGAACGTTAACTCAGGTGTGGAAATAACTTTTAGCAAAGCATTGGACACACTGCCAAGATGCTCAAAAAGGCCAGACTGTTTTATGCATCTGAAAAAGAGATACATTTTATTCTAATAATTACAGGGCTATTGAAACAACATATTTGGATTATTTTACCTCGTTTGTTGTATTTTTATACACAACATATGATAGCAAATTAATGCACATTCTGATACAATTATTTTGTTTTGGCTTCAATCTTAAACCGAACAGATCTAGGTCCCTAGCATATTAGTAAAGCCTCTAGCTTCTTTTTCACTGAGAGAAAAAAAATGTACTATTATGTGATGCTGTATCACACCATTGGCACCCCCCTTTTCAAAATTCTAGATCCAGCCATGACTGTACCATAAAAGGAAGCTTCACGCCAGATGTAGCTATCTATTGATAAACATGATGGGAGTTGCACTGGATTAGAGCACACCCAAGTAAATCTGTCCCCACCCAATTTCTTCCCAAGTTAGTCCCATACATTCTGGGGCTGCACCAACAGACTGAGCCCTCAGGCAAAAGCATGAGAGTTACATTACTTAACTCTGAACCCAGGAGGCATATTGCCAGCAAGGGTTTATATTGCAAGAGTAAATATATTGCTCATCTTTTTTCGTTTCTCTTCTAAAATTTGAACACTCTTCACTTATACACAAAGCTTTCTTCCACGTAATCCTGAACTAGTCCCAGTCAATGTTTACCTGAAGTCTTCTGATGAACGTTCTCTTTCCAACTCTGGAAAGTGACTAAAAGAAAGAAAAACATAAGATTACTGGATACTTCAATCAAAGAGTCCATGGCAAAATAGCCCTGTGTGTTCAAAACTTCAGGTCTTCAAACATACTCTGGAACCACAGATTTGACTGCTTGTAGGTTAAAACCTAACCTTCCGAAGAAGGTTATTTAACTTATCGTGTGATCTACAGTGAGAGTCATCTTGGAAGCAACCTTAAATGCTAAGATAATGCTTCCCCAAACATACACTAATAAATATGTATGTACATGTGCACTGTAAATGGCAGACAAGCAACTGATTTTATATGGGACTCTTCATTCTATGAGCAGGGAGATTCCCCAAGATCCCATTTCTAATTCTCCACATACCAACCAAAATTACTATCCTACTCCTGCTTTATAAAAGCAGCAAACCATGTACAACAGCATAGCCACAGAAGCTTCCAAGCTGGCAATTATACAGAGCCTTTCAGAATCTTAACCAATTTGCTGCTTTATCATAGATGATCTACGTGGTTTCTTTAAGCTGAGAATAAAAACCAATAACTTAGCACAAAAATGAAAAGTGGCTGGTTTCTAGGAGTGCTTAAGGAATTCAAAAGAATGAAGTCATATTGGTCTTCAAATATGAGTTACTGGCCAAATTCTGTTTTAGAAGAAATCAACCTAAATATATTATTTACTTCAGTCGTATTGAATTAATACAACATTTGTTTTTCTTCCTCCAATAACATTCAGTAGACTCAGTTGTGTGGAAGAACTAAAGGTCATTTAACACCACTGGTTGTTTTAACCACAATCACCACTGTCTTATTACACAAAGGAAGCACAAGATATCCCATTAAAACAAAATGTTTCCCTAGCACATTTATAATGGTGCCCATTTTTGCATTTTATTATTCTATAATTCAGAAGAAATAAATGTCTTTTTATTAAAAACTGCTCTGTGACCATAAAAGTTCAAAACAAATGAAAAAAAGAATTTAATTTTTATACAGAACAGAATACAGAAGTGTAGTTTTAATGAATAGAAATGATTAAGCTCTATAGTTTATAAAAAACAGTACCTACCCATATGTCACTCCAGCAATACTACATTTCTTAAAGTTCATAATATTGCATGTTAGAGTGCCTGTTTTATCAGAAAACAGGTATTTTACCTAGAATAGAAATAAAAATGATAAGAAATCAATTAGATTAATTTTCACAGACATACAGAAATCAAAACAAGAGAAAGACACAAATAAGTTCATAAAGAGAAAAAGAAAGTATGCACACTTAAGAAATACTGTGATATGGGCCAGTGTAACTTGCTGCTTGGTTCATCTTATAGAAGTACAGGTAAATTCCTAGGGAAAAATGTTTAATATAAAAGTTAACACTGGTAATTTAGAACTGTGTCAATTCATATCCAGCTGAAGATACCAAGCTAAATGTAAAAAGCCTGGAAATATTTAATTAAAGAGCCAAGGAGACCAATACAAACAAGATGTACTACAAACTGAAAAACAAACCATGATTTACAAGCTAAAGACCAGCTCTCAACATTCCTGGTCCAAAACAGAGACCACAACATCCCACCACTCATCCTCTACATACTGGTCAAAGATATTACCATGTTCCTGCTGCTCACACTGGCTGCTCATAGATGTTAAAAAAAACCCAAAAAACCAACCCCTCCCCTAGGCACTTTATTTTAAATTCCATGTGCTCCCGCATTGAACCCAGCACACGTCCAGAAGAGGTAGCTTGTTAGATAGACCCGGCTCACCCAGCATCTGTATAGATCGGGCACTTTAATAGGGCTTTTATAGCACTTTTATTTAATAGCTGATTGACTCAGCTTTAGATAAAACATTGAAGAGTCCCACGAAGCACCTGATCTATACAAATGCTGCAGAACCAGGTCGAAGTAACGTGCTTCTTCTTCTGGTAAAGCGCGGTTGGGGGTTTTTTGTAGCATCTGCAAGCATCCCTTGATTATGAAAGGTATTTCTAGTAACATGTGAAGATCCCTCTGTACTCGAAGAACCTGCTAGAAGGGCATCATCTATCCCCAGACAAACCAGAGATTCATTTCTATAACTTTCCTGTGGATCTTAAATTCCTCATACTCAACAGAAGCTGAAAAAGGAGGGCCAGGGGGAGGGACAATGCATTCATACAACTGAGGACTATGCTGTTGTGCTTACAAGGTAAAATGTCTGTTTCTTTTATGTACAGTTGGCACTGGAATCTTAAGAATACTGAGATTTGAAATATTTCCCAGTTTAATTTGTATTTCCCCATCAATATGGTTTTAAGTAAGATCTATTCTCAGCTTTAACTTTGACAAGAGACAGATTTCTTTTGTGTTTGTTTAGGCTTGGGGGGCATTGTATTAGGATTTCCCTAGGATTATTTAAAAGTAATGTACCAGTCCTCTTATATGCAACTTTGTGAGCTTCAAAAAGAGACCTCTAGAACAGTAGGCAACTGTCAATCCTCTGGATCATGGTGTATGAGTAATAGGTCTAATCAGGTGCATGATGAATCTGCTTGTAAAGTCCTGTAACCATCACTCCAAGACCTTCAATGCATATACCTAGGTAAGTGTATGGAGGTGTGGAGGCTGTCTAAGATGTACCACGCTCCCTTTAGACCACTGAGACAGAATCCAAAAGCCAGACCAAGTCCAGACGACCCATGGTTGTAGCTTCTCCCAGAGAGCAACAGATAAGAACCGTTGCTGATTGACTAACACCTTAGCAAAGGCGCATTTCTGTCAGGGTGATGTCCCTTAGCATTTCTCCATCCAAAGAGTACCCACAAGCCAGCAGAATATACTTGAGCTAATAAAACAAATACCTTTTATTTTATTTTTTATTTTTACGCAGAAGTGAAAATATGTACCATTTGTCTGTCTTCATGATGGTGAGAATTATTGGGTAATTCATTTAAAAAGCTGTTTTACAAAAATTTCTCAAATCAGCCCAAGTTCTAGAAGCAGAACTTGTAACTTGAACTTTCCCTTTTTCTTCCATTGCCCAAGTGACAGGCAAGACAGCTCGAACATCAACACTAACTAATTCAGGAATGAGGCTACAGATTCACCATATTTCTACCTTCCTTCCTGCAGAATTCAATGCACAGCATTTGTGCTGCACATTACAAAAGAGTGAAAGATGCAGCTAAGACTTCAAGAACAATTTCGAGGTCCAAAATGCATTATTAGTATTAGAGCTTTTAGAAGACCATTTTGAGGACAAGATAAAATCATGTATCCAAAGATGTAACTGGCCAGAACTGCAATTGGAGCAGTCCTCCCTCCATCATCCCTCTATACCTCTGCAGGGCTCTGGCTCCAGAAATAGGCAGCATACAGGAGCAGCAGATGAAGTTCACTACTAGTGAAGGGAAATGTCACTTATTTTTCTGCCACACATGTCCATACTGAGCAGGCAAAACATCCTGTTTTGGAGGCCAAAAAAAAGGGGTGACATCTCTCCCCAGAAGTAGCAAACTCCAGCTGCTTTCCCTGCCAGACTGCACACTACCATTCAGCAGTATTCCATCTCCCAGACTGCCCTTCACTCACCAACACACTTCTGCACTGCTGCTGCTTGCTGCCAGAAAGTGTAGAGGAAGGTAAGGTATGGTCTGCCCACCCTTACACTACTGAATACATCTCTTGCCCTGGATCAAAAGTCATATGGAAATATATGCTGTACTTAAACCTCAAGTTATCAGGCTTGAAGCAGGAATTATTGAGTCAAATTCTACAGGCTATGTTAAGAGAAAGTCAAATCAATTAATTATTATGGTTAGCATCATGGAAAAAGAAATGCATATCCAAGAGCATAATCCAATCCTATCCGGGAGGGAAGACAGCCTGGTAGCTCAAGTACTAGAGTGGCCTCAACAGGTCTGGGCTCAATTTCTGAATCAGTCAGGCTTCCTGAGTGACCTTGAACAAGTCACTTAGCTCTATACCATATTTCTTTCTTTTTTAAAATAAAGCACCCCTACCTTGGGATAAGATACTACATTAAAGTGGCCCTATAACCATCCTAATACAAGAGCTCCCTCTGTAAAGCAACCTTTTGGGCGTTTCTCCTAACTACATAAAAATTTGGTATTCAAAAAGTTTCTCTCACCTGGCCGAGCTCTTCATTGAGGTTAGAAGTTCTGGCCATTGCAGGTGTATCTGTTTCTGTATAATACATATCTATATCCTGAAAGAAAATAGAAAGAGACAATCTATGTAGCTTAATCAAAAAATTACTGAAAAAGTGCTGAAGTTATGTAGTCTAATCTCAAGCAATAGTCAGATCCCAAGTTGCTTTTGCTGCCAGTTTCCAATTCCATTAATGGGAGTTGAGCTACAAAGAAAACACAGAATATAGTCTTCCTGCAGAATAGCAGGTTTTGCTTCTCAAATGTATCTAGGTTAAACATGGAAATGACACCTATTTGTTGAAAATAATTTGCTACATGTTCAGCCCAAAACCGAAAAAAGTTACCTTAAAACACAAAAGGGGACTCTTTTAAAATAATGTACTGCAACATTTAAATATTAAAAAAAGAAAAAAAAAAAGAAACAGTTCAGCAATGCAACCAATTCTGTTTGTATTGCTGTACTTAGTGACAAAAACAGTTGCTTCATGGGCCAGTAACCCAATAAACCATCTATCAGCTTAATCATATCAGAAATCAGTAAAAGTTACTCAATAGTCTTATAGGCAAAACATACAAAACTCAGCTGGATTTTTTTTTTTTTTTTTTTTTTTTAACTGGGATTACCACAGTCGTATGGAAGTCCTGCACTAATATGCCCAGGCATAAAGTAGACGTGCTGCATCTCCCCCCACATTTACATGCTTCATCCTCAAGGGATATCACAGTGATCATCTTAGCCTAGAAGACTGAATTGGAAGCCATTGGAAGACTGTCAGTTCTATTCTTTATCTCATCAGACATGTCTCTTCAGCAACACATGGCATCCCCAGTCTGCTCTCTGTGGCTTACCAGGTAATAATAAACATTTGCAAATGAAGTGCATCAGCTGTGGCAGGATGCATCTTGGCACAAAAGATACACTTCAGCAGGTAAAACACATTGCCCATTTTCCCACCCACTGACCTGTTGGACAACAGGCACTATAGAAATGACTATTACAGCTGCTGGACAACAGGCAATGTGTCTCCTGTTTACAGAGGCGCACCCCAGGGAATTGCTGGGGCACATCTCTAAGCGAGAACAGCTTGGGTTTCCCCACTTACAGAAGACATGCCAGGGAGATTCCTCAGGTATGTCTCTATAAAAAGGGAAATTGGGCAGAGATTCCTAGGACTTGAGGGGCCTGATCCTCTGCAGGAATTTCCAGGGTGAATGGTATCAGGCCCTTCAAACCCCAAGAGTGCCTGCCTGGGGAGGCTGAAGAGAGCAGGCAGCTCCAGGCTGCCCAAACTCTCATAGTATAAAGCCAACAGATGTCTGTCTACAAACTATTGCCATCTTTTGCCAGCACTACAAATGTGGGCATCTGTGGAACAATAAACTGTATAGACATCATGGCTACTTGCAGAAGTTAAAAATAAATAAATAAATAAATAAATAAAAATAATGCCGCCCCCCCCCCACACACACTTTAGCAGAAGCAGCAGCACATTACTTTGACCCGGCTCTGCAACGTCTGTAAAAACCAGGTGCTTCAGTGGGGCTCTTTGGCACTTTTAGCTAAAGCCAATTCAATCAGCTATTAGATAAAAGTGCCAAAAAAGCCCCACTAAAGTGTCTGAGCTATACAGACATTGGGCAAGCTGGATCCAAGTAATGTGCTGCCTCTTCTAATGGGCATATGTGGGAACACACAGAATTTAAAGCAAAGCACTGCTGGTTTGTTTTTTTAATGTCTGCAAGCAGTCCTATTTGCTTTCCCTTTGTACCACTATAATTGTACCACATCAGCAGAAAAAAAAAAAAAAAGTGACCTGGCCATATCTTACATTTAGTGCTGCCCACTGAAAACATCAGAGAATCCTGGAGTTGGAAAAGACCCAGCCATGTTTCAGTCTAAAAGATGGGCTATAGAAAAGCCATTAGCACATCTTATTAACAGCAGTCAAGAGGACGCTGTCAGTTTAGAAGGATTTTGTAGCTGGGAAAGATTTTAAAGCTATTTTTCCCCCATAAAGAAAGCCTAGAACCCCCAGAAGTAAACACCTATCTATGAAACTTCCCACAGGCTAAGGGGAAGGGTTGTATTCACAACCTTGCTAATAAAGACTAATGAATGAGCACTGAACAAACCAACTGCTAACTGGCCTTAGCAAATGCAATAATGGGAGAGAGGAAGCGAGAGAGGGAGCTTACAAAAAGGATTAAAATGTTTGATTATACTAATTGCCACATTCCAAAAACTGGAATTTAGTAACTAGCTCTTCTATTCTTGCTACTTACCCAGTTTATAAAAAGAGCCTGAGTAAATTTGACTACTTCCAGCGTCACCAGCAGACTGATGGGAATGAGGTTGTTGTACAAGATTATAAACGTCAGTAGATTGTATCCAAAATTGATTGACAGTGCTTCTGTGGGCCAAAAGGTACAGAACAGAATCACCAATAAGCCACATGTTCACATTGTCCAGAATGATAAAGTAGGCTAAACATCGTTTCAGGCAGGTGGCTGACTGTTCCTTTTTTAATTATATTAATACTGCATAGGTTTGGCTGTAGTATTGTGTGTCAATGGCCAGAATTTGTATAGGTGTCTTTTTATTATTTAAAATGAAAATTGTACACATTTATGTATGCATATCCTGTGCAGATGGCATGCTTTAAAAAAAAAAAAAAAGAGTAGCACTAGAGATTATCTACACCAGGGGTACTCAACCTTTTGGCCCTGTGAGACAGATGAGTGCCATGGGGCTGGTCCATGGGCTAGATCAAGCCTCATGTTTTGGGATCAGACCCTGAGGCTCAGCACTGCCTCATCTCTGCCCCAACTTGCCAAGTTTGGGCCCTGGGGGTCTGGCAATGACCCTGCATGCTGAGATTGAGCCCTGGAGGCTGGTGCCAATCCTGCCCAGCCCTGCAGGATGGGACTGGGTGCCCAAATTCAGTATGTAGGGCCCAGGGTTCCCACCACAAGTCATTAAATTTAGCAGCATGGGAATGGTGCCACTGCTCCCCCACTGCCAAATTTCCAGACCCATGGGGAGCCCCACAGGATGGATGACATGGTGCTGAGGGCCATGGATGGGGGTCCTGATCTAGACTTACTATGTGAGGTTTAGGTTTGTGAGGAACTCTATTTATTCTAAGCACATTACTAGAAGGGCAATACTTTATATTATAATCCAAAGGGATTTGATAAATGTAATGCGTGTCACCTGTCCCCATTTAACAACTATAAACATTATTTCTAGTGAGTGATGTCCTGCCTGCCTCAAAAAAATTGCTCTTTGTGCTATGTATTTCAATGGACTTAAGAGGGAATTATCCTTGATATTTTCAATATGTCCCCATTCATAGTTCTCATAATTGTCACAAACTTTTCACGGTAATGAGAATTAAGAAAAAAAGAACTAAACCCAAATAAAGTTATCCATTGCCAGAATGCTTCCCCCTCCCTACAAAAGAGCTATAGAAATGATTATTATAACTGTTTTTAAAGGAAGGAAAAATATGCAGGAAATGAGAACTGAGGATAAGTCTGCTGATGTACTAAGACCATTGCCTATCATGCTAACTAATATTGCCTCTGCCTCTCTGCCCTCATCCACTGCTACTTCTTAAATATGATCTTTTGGGATAATGAACATCGTTTTAGTTCACTGTTCGTAAAAAAACATAGCACAATGGAAGCTGGGTGTATAAATAGCACTGCTGTGGGCTACAGTAATACAAACAACTAGCACCCACTCAATAACAAAGATCCTGTTGAGAGAAAAATGAATAGGAAGAATGAGGAGCCAGATATGAATGCTTCTCGGTTTCCTGAAAGATGGAATCCAAAATCAGTTCCACCTAAATGGTTTAACATCTCTTTATTAGTATTAGGATGAAACAAAATCTGCGTCCAAAGCTGCCCTTCAAAATAAGGGTTGAATCCAAGGCTTGAAATCCAAATCAAGCTAAGGATTTTCAGAATCAGCCTGTAAGGAAAACCAAGAAACACGTTTGACTGGAGAAAAAGGCTTTTCCTATCCAGACAGCTGAGAGACTTAGGCACTGGAGTCATAAATTTAGGTTGGAATGTTTGATCCTGGAAAAAGATTAAAAAGCATCTCCCCCTTTTTGATGACAAAATAGGAGAGGTTTTGTACATGTAACACAGGAAATGGCTTTGAAAAGGCATCCCTAGTGCCAAAATTTGAGGATCTAAACCTCAGCTATTCTGCTTTATCAATAACTCTACTGATTTTAATGGAATGATTCTGATTTACACCAATGTATCCAAGATCAGAGATAGGACTCAAACTCTTGAATCCTCTCCACTACATATTACCTTCCATATATAACCTTTTTGCCTCTTCATGTAAATGGGAACAGTGATATTTCATATTCCACAAAAGATATAATTATTATTAAAACCAAGAAAATTACTTTTTCTTTAAAAAAGAAAAAACATTCTTTAGTCAGAGAAACAGTGACTAGGACACCATGAACACAATTGCTTGTTTCATTGAATAGGCTTTAGTGAAAATCTGTCTAAATATATACAGTCTTCTATCAGAGTCACTGCACTCCTAAGAGATGAGATCTTTTTCAGTAAGACTACCATAATTGCAGTTCATCTGAAACAATAAGTGACAGGTCTGCCACTGCCAGGAGTCTTACCACTACCAGAAAAAATATTCACACAATGTCAGTGACGTGAATTTATGTTTTCACATCTGTGTTTGCAGATAGCGACGATAACATACCGCCAGCGTCTGACACCATTTTTTAGCTAATATAAATGAAGAGGCAAAAATCTCTCTTCTGCACAATGACTTCTATTCTATCCTGAAGTACTTTTACAATATCTATATCTATTTATTCCCATCTAACCTGTAAAAATAGCAAAAAACTTAAATCAAGCAAAACCCCTATATCTCTTTACAGGATAAGCAGCAAAATTACACCTCAGTATTATGAGCTAGAATGGCCTGGTCCAGCAGATAGTCACAACAACATTTGGCACTCTGTGATCATTAGTCTTCAGGATGTCCATGCAAGGAACAGCAGCCTCTCCAAGTTACACATAGGGAAACCAAGACACAGAGGGACAGATGATGCCGTGAAAGTTTGAAGTCAACAGAACTCAGCTAATTGACACCAGCAGAGGATGTGGTGCAGAGAGAGTAAGTGACTTAAGAATTTAGGTAGACAAAGAGCAGAGAAAGATGAGGCTGATGACACAAACCCTATATATAATGCACTAAACCAATGCCTAAAACACTTTTTTATGGAACTCCAGTAGGGAGATACCTTGGTAACCACTGACTCCCACCCTTGCGTCTCAAATTCCCCATCATTTCCTGGCAGGGCCATCCCTGGCAGTAGGGGGGCAATCAGGGCGACTGCCCCAGGCCCCGTGCTTTGGGAGGCCCCACAGAGCCACGCCAGCTTCGTGTACGGCTGCTCACCCCCCCCCCCTCCAGTCGCCACATCCGGACCCTGCACAGGCTGATTTACCCTGAGCCTCGCACCCTGCTACGGTCAGCTGTTTCCTGGCCAACTGCCTAGCAACTTTCACTGCTCTTAGAAGGGATTAGTTTGCATCTCTCAACAACAAATTTCTTGGCAAGTCAGACTCTAAAATTATAGCAGTAGGTTCTATTGTCAGGTTACACTTATGCTTGGCTTTGCCTTTTTTTTTAAGTTGGTATTATTTATAACAACATTTACAAGTCTTTATGTAATTATTTGTAAAATGCAAGTGAAAGGCCCAGGTTGCTGAATCCTTGAACATTACAAGTTAAGTGGTGTCACACACAATAAGCTTCCTGCTATTGAGCTCTCACCATTTGAGCCAAGGTACCAAATGACTTTGCCGTGTGCTCTGTTCCACAGTAAGGCACCCACAGAACTCACAAGAGCCATGACCAGAAGGATGCAGAACAACACCAGGATCTGCATGTTGGTCACTTTCTCCACATTTGATCTCTTCAAAGGTGCTTTGGTTGAGTTCTGAACAAGAGCAGAAACAGCTGTGAGAACTGGTTTAGATATGGGAATAACAACAGAAAAAATATGGAAGAACTTGAGATCAGAACTGATTTTCTGGAGTCTTAAACCAATAGACCCAGCCATTATGTTTCTTGACACCTTTTCCTATCCGGTTAAATATCCCCTGTCCCCCCGAGTTATGAGGGAAATGTGAACTGTGTGCAGCTATTTCCATAGGTTCAATTAACTCCCCTGCCTGTCACCCTCCCCTGCAATAGCCAAGGCAGGGGAAGATAAGGACTTTGGGTCTGTCCTTGGTCCCTTCTATAGCTGTTGGAGAAATGGCAATTCCCACCAACAAGAGAAGGCAGGGATTGTAACTTTGCTTAGCTCCTGCAGAGGGCCCTATGATGGTTGGGGGAAAATGGTCCTTAAACCTGTCCCTTCCAACCTAGCAAACACAGGAATTTTAGAAGTTATTCAGTAGTAACCATGAAGTCTTTGACTGCCTTAAAATTTAAGAACCACTCTTACACCAGGTGTAACTGGGTTAGAATCAGTACAGATACACCCAGGAAAAATGACACTCAGGGTATTGTGACACATGACACTTATCATATTGTATTTAGACAACAGTAAGCATTCATAAGACTTAGAAAGTTTTCTGAGCAGTCCCACATTAACACTTACAATCATCTAGATATAGATTGTAATACCACACCAACTACAGTTCAACACCAGGGCTGAGAAGGAAAATCAGTTGGTTTTTGGTCTCAGACCCGGGATCGCACCAGAGCCAATTCAGTACCTCTGTGTAGTAAGGAAGCTGAGAACTAGACAAACACCAGTTTCTTAGGTTCCCATACTCCCACTGCAACAGAGCCAATTCAAGGCACCACTGTGGTGTAGGGGCTTGGAGAGACCAGAGCACTGCACAGGAGCCAGTTCAAGGATCTCGTGCAGAGGAGGAAGCGGGGAGCTACAAATAGTAGCTCCTAGTCTCCTTACTATATCAGAGCCAGTTGGCAGAGTGGGGAGGGAGAACTCCCAAACTGTTTGTCAGTCCTCCGCATCCCAGTCACGCTGGAGTCTCCCAGTCATATGACCTCCATGGAGCAGTCCAGAGATGAATCCAGGAGAGTGCCATGGTGTAGTTACACCCCCGTCAATTGCTGTGCCACCCAAAGTTTAAAACTAGGTGCCTGGCAGTGTCAGGAGCATTTCTACTCATGCAGAAGAGAGGAGTCAGTTGAGGTCATGGCTCATAAAACACCCGATTCCTTCTAAACTCTCCATTCCACAGGTGTTATCAACCTTCCCACCTTTTTAATGGTTTTTACTGGTTTCGCTAATCAAGCTATTATTTGTTCCACAGTTCTGCTGTCTGTTAGCTGTTCCTTGTAAATGTAGACCGCTTTGAACACTAGCTAAAAACATTAACACAGATGTGGAAATTACTTTCAGTGAATCACTGGGTGCACTGTCAAGATGCTCAAGGAGGCTAGATTTTGTTTTATGAATTTGAAAGAGATGTACACTTAAATCTCATGGACTACAGTACTAATGAAACATCTTTTGATAATTTCTGCCTAGTCAGTTGTGTTTTTATATATAATACAGAAAATTAAGGCATACTGAGGCAATGTTAAAATTTGTTTTTGCTTTGATGTTAAGCTGAAAAATATAGCTGAAGGACCCTAGAGAAAAATGTGCACGCTAATCTGTACCCACTTTTCAAAATCCTAAACCGGCCCATGTTAACTCAACACGTTAGATGATATGATCTGTAGATATTCTGTGCCAGAAAATACAGAACTTTACTATGCCAGGATGGCACTTAGCATGCATGTTACAACTTTAATACTTGGACACTAGTGTTTTAAGTGCTGCTAGCATGTGCTAAGTGTACCATGTAACAATACCGTCAAACTAGCACACGTTTGGAAAGAGTTTTAATCCCTGGATAGATTTACTTTACTTCACATCCAGCTGAATATTTGGCTTTATAGCCACAGCTCCCAACCTGCAACTTGTTTTGGACAAGGATACCCCACAATCGGTGGGCTCTGCACAGGAACAGAAACAGGAACAGAAGGCTGCCTGCATGAAACTGCTTGAAGGATCAGTAGATGCATACAGTGCCTATACATGAGCAGCGAGGCTGCTACCATGTGCTGCAATTACAACATGTCAGAGAAGGCTCAGTTAATTGAGTCTGCTAGAGTGTGGTAATTACTGTGTTCCAGCAGACTTCAGCAGACTCCAGCACAGGTTACAGGGGTGGGTGGATGAGAATAAGATGGGATTCAACACTGACAAGCGCAGGGTACTGCACCTAGGGAGAAAGAACCAGCAGCATACCTACAGGCTGGGGAACTCCCTTCTCGTCAGCACAGAGCCAGAATAGGATCTTGGAGTCATTATAGACTCCAAGATGAACATGGGCCGCCAATGTGGGGATGCAGTCAGGAAGGCTAACCACACCTTGTCATGCATCCACAGATGCATCACGAGCAGGTTCAAGGAGGTGATCCTCCCCCTCAATGCAACACTGGTCAGGCCGGAGTTGGAGTACTGCGTCCAGTTCTGGGCACTGCACTTCAGGAGGGATGTGGACAACAGGGAGAGTGTCCAGAGAAGGGCCACTCACATGATCAGGGGGCAGCAGGCAGGCCCTACAAGGAGAGGCTATGACACCTGAACCTGTTCAACCTCCACAAGAGAAGGCTGA